GTGACATGTTCGTATGAACCCTTTGCACGAACAAAAGTAAGAGAAATTTAGGATAAGAATACGAACATGTTCTTGCATGAGGCCCATTGATCTTAGTATTTAGAGAAGTATGAACATCTGATTAATTATTGTTTGGGTTTCGTTGAATTTTGCATAATGTTTGCCAGTGGTTGTGGCCATCAGGGAGGTTTGTGATATTTTTGGTTAGCTGGTCCCCTGCATTTTTTGAAATGCCCAGTCACTTATCAATAAAGAAAAAAAGAAAGTCCTCAGAGGGAAAAGGAAAAAAAAAACATGGTTAAACGTGTTGATAACGAAGTACTGTTTGCATATTCTTTAATCTAAAACTAAATATGATGACGATGAGTCTGCAGAAACACCACCGCGCATCGGCAGTCTCACATGGCGGATCTTTTTAGTTTAAGTACGCATCATGGGGTATTTCAGATCTGACCTTGTTTGCCCCCATGTTGTGCAAAACAGTCTAAAACACTCTGGAAAGGTGGGTGGATCTCCACTCCTAGCTGCGTCGCGCTGCACGCGTTTCATACATCGGTTTATCTCACAACACTTCATATTATCCCATCTTTGCTGCTGTTTCAGTTTTTGCCTCAGCCATTTCAGGTTTTTTATCTCACGACGAGACTTATCTGAGTGGCTAGTGGGGAACTGTTTCAGCACCACGACCTGGCTCACTCATGCTCGCTGGATCTCAACTGGAGACACAGTTACAGGGTGTGGGGGCCCAGCTCGTGGGTAACTAAGGGAAGTGGGGGTGCATGTGTGTACGTGTGTGAGGTGATGATGTCATCAGTTCTTCCTGGCGGTTTTTTTTTTACCCCCAACACGTGTGAAGCTGAGGCTGTAAATTTGTTTGGTCTTACAGAGACGTGCAGCAGAGATGTTCATGTTACTTTCATAGATACATAAAAGGGAGGACTGCGTACCTGTTTTCACGGGCAGTTCCAGGGAGCCAGTCGACTGTATTGCATTGCTAAATGAATGAGCTTTTGCTAAAAGCAGCAGAGAGAAGTGCAATCTGTTTACGAAATATGACACCTGGTTTCCCCCTGGCCTTTGTTCGGAGTACAAGGGCATTAGTATTTATAAATGAGGATAAGATGGAGAACTGATTTGTGTTTGAGTTATGTTGTTTCATAAACTAAAATGATATGAATTAAGCATCATCATTTTCACACACGACCTGTCTGTCTGAAAGAGTGTTTTTGAATTTTTTTCTAATTTTTGTCTTTTCTCTTTGTGTTTTGTGTGAGTTTTTTTTCCGCAGGGAAAATGCTGTTTCTCATCGGGGGGTTGCTCCATTTCCACCTGGACCRACTGGGAGCTGTGCGCCACCTCGTGCTAGCCTTTCCAACGGGCGTTTCCTGGGGGTCCTTTTGAGGGGGGACCCATCAATCCCGATCTTCACATTCCACCTTTGAGCAGGCCGTGTTTTGCGGCTTCTCTCTTTCTGGG